AAAGGAAGGCGAAGCATTGCCCGAAAAGGCAGGTGTGGGGGTATTCGGTGGCGCGCGAGGCTTGAAGGCCGGGCCTTGTGGAGGAGATCTTGCTAATCCCGAAGGAGCTGTTGGAGCAGACACAGTAGGTAGGGTATTAGGAGGTCCATTTGAGGGTGGAGGTGCTGTGTGTGCCACTGGAGTTTTAGATGACGCATGATTAATGCCTGCATGATCAGTGACTGGGACGGAAGGGGCAGGAGGAGGAGGTGGTGGTGGTGGAGGAGGAGGAGGAGCAGGAGGTTCCATACGCGGCACAACTGGGGGCCCTGATCTTGGGTCTTGGCTAGGTATTTCTCCGGGTCCTCGATCTGGTATTCGGCCTGCTTTAGGTCCAGTCGGTGGTACGCTGGAGGATGCTGATAGAACGGCTTTTGGAGCGGTTGGAGCCATCACTGGCTTTGGGGCTGGCGGGGGCGCCACAGTTTTTGGTACGGTGTACGCAGCGGGCGCAGTAACAACTGCTGGAGCTGGTAGCGGTGCAGGAGTAGCGGGAGTTGACATGGCCTGTACAGATTTTGGCTGCGACACTGTAGGAACACTAGGTTTGCTTTCAGGTACGGGAGCCCTCCAGACATTAGATCCTCCGAAGGCCGGGATGGAAGCAGGAGGCGACGAAGCACGTGGGGCATACCTTTCTCTCGATGCTTCGGCTCGGCTCGCCAATAGGGCCTCATCCTTGCCTGGTTCCCGCCTAGAGTCCTTGGAGGACAGCGGGTCAATGGCAAGGGACGAACGCCTTGAGTAGGAGTCTATCTGTGAACCTAGCCGGTCCGATGGGGATGCATGATGAGATGAATGCGGAGTCGGGCCTGTTGGAGTGCCCGGAAGATGGCGCAAGTCAGATGAACTTGGGCCTCGGTGCGTATCTAGTGTCCGTAATCCTGGCTTTGCCGTGCCTGCAGGGCCAATATAGGAATCATATTCTCGTGGGATAAATCTCCGATCATCACGGTCTCTTCTGTCCAACTCTCTGTCTTCCCGCACATCTCTTTCCCGACGACCCGGTGGTGACCGGCTTCGCGGTCGGTAGGTGCGATCTGGTGGGCGATCACGTAGGTCGTGGTGCCTGTCTCGGTCGTCGTGAAAGTTCCGACCACGAGCTGCGAAGCCGCCGCGACCTCGACTGATGCTACCACCGCGATAGGAGGAGCCTGTGCTGATGGGAGGTGCATCGGAGTAGGTCGACCCGGCCGACGGTGGCCCGTCGCGTGAGTTGCGTCGAGCACGACTGACGTCGAGATCCCGCGATAAGAAGTCTCTCTGGTCACGTGTGTCTCTTACGTCTCTTGCATCTCTTGCATCTCTTGCATCTCTTGCATCTCTTGCATCTCTTGCATCTCTTGCGTCTCTTGCATCTCTTACATCTCTTACATCTCTTACATCTCTCGCATCTCGAATGGGAGACCGCCGTGGAGGAGTAGGTCGTCTTTCTCGCCGATCAAAGTCCCGGTCGCGATCACGATCTGCTCTCCAGGAATTGTGGGAGTTGTGCAGAGGAGGGGCGGGGCCACTACTCAGAGGCGGTGCGGTCCTCAAAGGCGTAGGGGGACCCGTGGCAAGGACACGAGGGGCATCCACAGCAGACTTTGGGCCCCGAGGGATATCTCTGGGCGGGAAACCGCTGGGCTCTGGGTTGGGTCTGACGTTGTCGCCGGCCCTTGGAGCGTAGCCATTGCTGCTGAATGTTGAAGGCCTACGATCGCGATAAGGCGGTGACCTATCACGAGGGTACCGGCTGGACATGTTTGTACGCTTTCTATGGTGTTCAATGACTGGTGCTACGGCTGCATGGGCACCAATGACCGTCGGATGAGGGATTGGATATGCTTATGTAATAGGTCGACAAGAGAACCTGTGGAGGGAGGCGAAGGTCTGTTCTGCAAAGGAATGCTACGAAAAAAGGATAGTGTTTCCCGAGGACTCGAGACGAGAAAACGTGGGGCTGTTGCGGGTTACAGGGAATGTGTCGCTGCTGTCGACGGCTGTGAGGTTCAGATTTGGTAGGGGTGACGTCGATGTTGACTGTGTTGTGAGATTGGATGCGCCAAGGATTAACGAAGGTCCGTGCTCAGGTGCCTTAGCGCCGTTTTGAACCGGTGCCACGATGGATCGTGGTGTGCCGCGAAACTGGAGACTCGGCGGCGTGGTGTGCTGTTTTGCTTTTTCTTTGCAGGCAGCACACACAGGCCGGCGGTGGTCAGGAGCAGCGGGCAGGCGTGCAAACGGGTGTGCGGTGAGGAGGGGAAGCTGGGCGGTCAGGTGAGTGTGCTGGTGCCTACGGTAGGTACGGTAGGTAGGTAGAAGGGGGTGTGCAGAGCAAGGCAGGCAAAAGGCGATCCGGCGAGCGTTCTGCGATCTGACGTGGCCAACCGTCCCTCGCCCTACGGGAGGCGGGTTCGTGCAGGGAGCGGGAGTTCCAAAAAGATGTCGGCTGTTCAGCCTGGCTGGGCTCCAATGCACACTGGCAGCATACTGCTGTCGAGAGTCTGGGGGGGGTTCACGGATCGCTTGTTCGCTGAGGGCTGGGGAGGGGAGGGGAGGGGAGGATGGGGAGAAGCGTCGAGGGGGGAGCAGTTCAGAGAAGAGAGCGAGAGAGAGCGAGAGCGAGAAAGAGAGAGAGAGAGACAGACACACAGACAGACACGAGAACGGCGCACTGACAGCAGGCCGACGCCGAACCCCAGTGCCCATTCATTTTCGACCTTGCAGCCGGCCGTCCTGGGCCATGGCTGCTCAGCCGGCGTCCCTGCACGGCCTGGCCAGAGAACCGTCAAAGGGCAGCCAAGGGCGAGTGATTGGACAGCGAATTGAAGATTGCAGGGATAATGACGGAACAAGTGTCAGATCCGCGCTTCCATTTCCAGCCCAGCCCGAGTGCCACAGGCGATCTCTGCCTAACGCACCACTGCGCCCACTCCCGTGCATGGCGGCACGAGCAGCTGCTGCCATCCGAGGAGCGAGGAGGAAGTGAGTAATTCAGTACATGCAGGAGAGCAGCTAAGTACTCTAACAGAGTCTGGAGTACTCTATTCATGGCTGACTAGAATGCATGGCACTTATGGCCGCTGTCGGATATATCCACTCCACACACGCAGTACAAGGCGCTACATGTGTGTATGTGAGAGAGAGTGAGTTGGAGTGGAAGAGAGAGAGAGAGAGAGAAAGAGTCTCTCCTATCCCGGCCATAGGAATCGCAAGAATATGAGGGCCTGTCATGTACGATTAGGTAGGTAGCCAAGCAACAAACGTGCATGGCGAGACCTACCCAAGCCATGTACTCACAGCATGTACAAGTGTAGCAGCCATCAGCCTCCAGGCAAGTGTTGTGTGTGGTGGGCGCTAGCAAGGAGCCTTGACGCCATGCAGTGTGGGGTCCATCCATGAATCTGCCCGATGAAGCCTTGACTGCTTGGAAAGGGTTAGCATCCCCTCCATTGCAGTCTCACTGTCTCAGATTCCTTCTGTCCTGTCCAGTCCAACCCAGCCGCCTTTGCTCACGTTGTATTTCCCGCGCTTTTGCATGCCCACCCCTTGATGGCTAATGGCTAGTACGATGTAGGTACAGTAGATCGATAGACCGGGCAGGGACTCTAGAGTACATGCTCTATGACTTAGTCATGTGCTATTGTATGTGTGTACATGTATGTACTATGGGTCCTCACATGCCTTGTGCCTCCTTGTACCACCTCTCGCTACAGTTGGCAGCTAGCTATCGCTGACACGCGTCTGGAAACGCCCAAGGCTCAAAAGTCCCATTCTTGCCAAAGGTATCCCACCCATCCACGCTTGCCCTAAGAAACACGTCCGTCATTGTACACTACACACGGCTCGGCAATAGACCCTACATCGCCCTAGGTACAGTAGCTATGTACCTACTCAGTACATGAACAAGCACAGAACCGAGTCTGTCCTCTGCACCAAGTTGGCTCACGATGAAATGGTACCGACAGGAAAGCAAAGCGGCCGTGCTTGGCAACTGCCACCAACAAACATTGGGACTAGTGCGCCAGTAGGTGCCGGCCCTTGACACCCGACCTGCCCAAATGTAGATGCACTTGTTTCGCGCCTTTTGGCTCTGTACAGCAATCTGGTCACTTGTGGTTTCTGATAAAGTGTCCTCCAACCATCTCGGGGACAGAGAGCACTGTGCCGTCCATCTCATCTGATAGGCAATCGCCAGCCACGTTCGTATGCGTCATACCTACTTACTCATACGATGTACTCCAAGCTACAGTGTTACCGCACATCCCAAGTACCTCATCAAACTCACTTGTTCGCCTGAGCGGCGCCGAACTCCGGCCCCGCCGCCGCCCCGTAGAATTTCCAGATGCATGACTTTTGATTTTCTTGATCCTGTCAGCTGACAGCGCATCCCAGTCTCCAGATGGAAAAGCCCGATGCACAAACGAGGCCAAAAGAGGCCAAACCAGAGACTGCATCCCCAAGCATGGGACGTGCAAAGACTGGAGAAACACAATGTTGTCATGTAGTTCCTGCTCACTTCTAAGCGACGACAGAACACAACCTCTACCGGCTGCGTACCTGCAATTGGTGATTGTAAGAATTCCGTCAATTACAAGGGCAAACAGTTAGCAAAGTGCAGGACAAAATCGAGCGCCACATGGCAATCCACGCTAGTGGAAAATCATGTCTCAAGACTCAAGACTTGCGTGGGGGGGGGGGGAAATGGATTGCCCCCAAATTCACGCACACCTACCAAAACCAACACGGGACACACCCATTCATCGCCAATCAAACACCAATCCGTCTCGCACAATTCCCAGAATCATCAGGCAAAATAACAAGCACAGTCTTTTACCGAGCTATCATACCCATAATCACAGTGCTTGCAGCTCTTCCTCCTCCTCCTCCTCCTTCTCCTCCTCCCTCTGCACGTCATGTCAGCGAATGAGACTTCAGCGGCCCCTGCAGCCGCCACAAACGCCGTTTTGAAACCCTCAGATCCTGTACCCGACGGTGCGAGGCAAGTCCAAGGCATCGACTTCAATCAGCATGCCGCGCGTGCCATTACCGTTGAGGAATTGGTGGCTGGCTATGCCAACATGGGCTTCCAGGCATCATCGGTAGGAGAGGCTGTGCGCATCATCAACGACATGGTTAGTTTTTTTCGTCGAGTTTACCATCCTGACTCCCCTAATGGCGGGGATGCAGCTCCGACGCATGCACTAGTAGTCCCAACAACCAACAGCATCAGCACCAGCACCAGCACCAGCACATCACGCTAACGGCCCATGAAACAAACAGCGGGCATGGAGAGACGCAGAGACGGGTGACAAGACGACGATATTTCTGGGCTACACGTCCAACCTGATTTCCTCTGGTTTGCGCGAGACGTTGCGCTATCTAGTGCAGCACAAGCATGTTTCTGCCATTGTCACGACAGCAGGCGGTGTGGAGGAAGACTTGATCAAATGTCTTGCGCCGACGTACATGGGTGCCTTTTCTACGCCTGGGGCGGGACTGCGCGCAAAGGGCATGAATCGGATCGGTAACCTGGTTGTGCCAAACAGCAATTATTGCGCGTTTGAAGACTGGGTTGTGCCCATCCTCGACACCATGCTTGCGGAGCAGGAAGCCAGCAAGAAGACCGATGAGCCACTGCACTGGACGCCGAGTACAGTGATTCACCGTCTGGGCAAAGAGATCAACGACAAACGCTCCGTGTACTACTGGGCCTACAAAAACGACATCCCCGTCTTTTGCCCTGCTCTCACGGACGGCAGTCTAGGCGACATGCTGTACTTTCATACCTTCAAATCCTCGCCCGAGCAAATAAGAATCGACATTGTGCAAGACATTCGCAAAATCAACACGATTGCGGTGCGGGCCAGGCGCACAGGGATGATTGTGCTGGGAGGGGGCATCGTCAAACATCACATTGCCAATGCGAATCTGATGCGAAACGGGGCGGAGAGTGCCGTGTACATCAACACGGCGCAGGAGTTTGATGGCAGTGATGCCGGGGCGCGGCCAGATGAAGCGGTTAGCTGGGGGAAGATCAAGTTGGACGGGGAGAGTGTCAAGGTGTATGCAGAGGCGACGGTGGTGTTTCCGTTGATTGTGGCGGCGACATTTGCGAAGGTTGAAGCGGGCGAAGAGAAGTAGGAGCGAGATGTCAATACAAGTAGGTATCCTGTCCTGTCTTGTAGGTGAACACTAGAAACGGTCAACGGTCAACAATACAATGACGGATGCATGGTGTGTGTGTGTGTGTGTGTGTGTGTGTGTGTGTGTGTGTACAAACACGTATCCTTGAAACAAAGTCGGCAAATGATGCCCGTCGGGTGTGTGGAGAGGCTGGCGCGTTCTGCGAATCCGATGTGGAGGTCCCCCCCCCCCCCACTTTTCCACCCCCGACCGCGACGCTTGCCGCACTTGAGCTGGCGGACACCGGGAGCTATCGATAAGACAGCTAACCTAGCATACCGGTACCTACAGCAACCATCCACACTACCTACCTTGTCCTGTAGCCTAGGTGCTGTACACAGCCACCAGACTCGTAGTGACTCTAGCATCCACCTCTTTGACATGATAGGAAATGCAATGCCCGGGTGTGCTAACCTCATGGTATGTACTCTACTACACGTGTACCATGTCCCGTCTACCTGTTGTATGTAGCCCTTTTCTACAAGACGGGACAGCGGTGGCCTGGTCTGGCCTGGCCTGGCCTGGTGATGATGATCATGCATGGACAGGGCCCGCTGTGCTTTTCCAGTCATTGTCTGTGTAGGTATAGGTAAGCCTTCATGGCCCATCTCGTATGACTCTTTATCGACTCCAACACGTGCTGGACAGGACAAAGGGCGAAATGACGATGACAAGGGTACATGCAGGCAGATATATACTATAACACTACCTATCTAGTAACTAGGTATGCACACTGTATATGTATATTGCCAAGTACATGCCTACTAGCAAGGCGCCAGAGGTGTGTCTGCCTACAACTCTCAACCGCAACCCGGCCTAGTCTCGAATGGCGTTGCGCGGGGGTCCGAACAGCTGGCACCCCCCCGTGCCTCGCTTTACCGCATTCTGGCTGCAGCCTCACTGTCTGATAGGCGACAGCAGCCAGCAAAGCCAGCTCAGGCCATAAGCTCAGCCCTCAGCCACGCCTTTTTGCTCTCATGCCTCTTTGTTGCTTTGCTTTGCTTCTCATCGGCGCCGCTGCGAATCCAAGTGCTGTAGAGTTACATACCCTTACTGATCCTGTTCATCTTGCGCTCTCGCCCTCTCTCCATCTCTCTGTCTCTCGCCATTGTGACTTGTACCTTTGAAGACGTCATTTACCACTTATACAATCTCACTCTCTCTGCCTCTCCCTCCATACCGCCGGCAGCTTCCCTCAGCCTTGGACTACCATCTCACCCTCCAACACACACCCACAAACACACACACACACACACACACATTGTACCTTCACCTCGCTAACCTACATCCTCGGTGCCTGGTGACTCCAACAACCCCCGATTCTCGCTTCACATGCGCCATCCCAGCCGCAACTGTGAGCCATGGCAGCCGTTGAGCAGCCGCATTTTATGCAACGCACACCCACACCGTCCTTCTCCAGCCCGCTCGACCACCTCGATGCACGGCCTTCGTCTTCTTCCCCACCGCCACAACCATCCCCCTCGGCCGATGGCAACATGAGCAGCTCGCATCCCACAACTGTCGGCCAGCGACATGACCGGGAAGATGCAGACATGGAGGATGCGAGCTTGACAAACGGCCTGCCGCAACCGAGTATAGAAGCACCCGCCAGCCGCGAACAAGCCCCGACTGCCATCGCTGTCCAAGTCGCTGCCTTGGATGACAACGCCATGGATACAACGCCGGATGCAGAGGTCGAGTTGGTGCTGCCAGACGCCCCGGTGGGTCAGCACGGCGCCACGCTTGTAACGCCGCCATCACCTGCGCCAAATAGTGGTGCCCAGGTCGAAGAAGCTGACAACGCGCCGAATCCGCCTGCAGCTTTCAACGAGAATGCAGTAAGTCACGTCTTGAAGCCTCCATGGCCTTTTCGCTGCTAAGTTCAGACAGTCAGTACCCGCTCCCATCGTGCCTCCAGTAGATGCCGCTGTCCCCGTCGATCCAACCGCGCAGCCTCCACCGCCACCGCCGCCGCCCATCGAGCCGGCGCACTCCGACTCCGACTCCTCAGACGATGACGACGGCCTACCCGCCTGGCATCCCATCCAGGAAGATACCTCTTCACCGGACGAGGACGAACTCAAAGAGATGGAGGAGTCGACTGAACACAGCGCTCTCGATCACGAGTACTGGGAAAGCAAGGCATTCGTGCCGCTGGAAGAGCCAGAGTATACTGCGGGAGAGACTGGGCGTATCGAGTGGACCATTGACGCGTACAATGGGACTCGCGAGAAGCCAAATCGGGACTTGGTGATGAAGTCTGAGGTTGTGACTATTGGCGGACACCAGTGGCAGATCAAATTCTACCCAAAAGGCAATGACTCGGACTACCTCAGCGTCTATCTGGAGTGTTTGAGCGTCATGAAGCCAAAGGAGGAGGACAAGGAGGAAGGGGAAAAGGACGGAGACAGCTCCAAGGAAACAAGTACAGGGACTATCCAAAGAGAGAAGAAACCACACGGCGCGAAAGGCGATGTTGAAGAAGCGTCGGAAGATGCCTCGGCCCCACTTATACCCATCGATGCCCAACACGCGCCACTACCGTTACTAGGGTCGAAACAGATACCAAAACGGAAGTGTGTAGCCGCTCAAGTCTCCGTCGTGCTCTACAACCCCACAGAACCTCGCGTGCATTACTCGAAATCAGCTCTACATCGTTTCTGTAGCGGTTCGCCTGATTGGGGTTGGACCCGTTTCCACGGCCCGTACTATGATATCGCCCATCGTATGCGCGGCCAGCGGCAAGCACTTCTCCGTCATGATAAGCTTGCTTTCACGGCCTATATTCGCATCGTCGAGGATGAGACGAATTGTCTATGGGAGCATCCCAACCCAGAGAATCCCTGGGACAGCTTTGCGATGACGGGCCTGCAAGGTCTCATGCTTGGTGAAGATGCGAGCGCGCCTGGTGGAAACATGATTTCTGCCATTGCTTCGTGGATGCTGTTTAAACCCTTCCGGACTCTACTCTACAACGTCAAAGCGCCTGATGTCTACCGTGAGCCTTTGCTACGCCCGAAACCACTCATCAATGCGCTGCAGAAGGTGCTGTATCTGCTCCGCACGCAGGTAGAGCCGGGAGCGGGAGCAATCGCCTTGGACGATGTCTTGGATGCTCTGGAATGGTACGGCATGCACGAGCGACTTGACAAGCTCGACGTTATAGAGACCTGGGAGGTTCTGCGACTGAAACTCGAAGAGGAGCTTGCAGATACTGGGTACGCTTCTGCTTTGCAGGCAATCTGCGGCCCCAAGCGTGACTATAGTGTCGACATACCTACTTATCGCGTCCCTGTGGTGGGAGTACATAGCATGCAGCAGGCCATCGACAAGTCACCCGGCTTTACCGTTGCCGGTCAACCTCTTCCCGAGTTGCTGACCATTGAGATGGAACGGCAGAACTTTGATCTCAAGACTCGATCGTATGTTAAAGTACTGAACAAGGTCACGCTAGACGATCATGTCAAAGTCAACGGCACAAACTACACACTCTACGGCTTTGTGGTCCACAAGCAGACTCTGCAAAGCTATGTCTACCAGCCAATCCTCCGACCTGAAGGCCCAGGGTCGAGGTGGTACAGCTACTCGGACAGCAAGGACGAAAACCAGGTCAAATGCCTCACCAAGCGACAAGCCATTGATGCACACGAGGGTAAGCCTGGCACTGAGCAGATTGTCGGTAACGATGCCGTGGCTTACGTTGCCATGTATGTGCGCGACGATGTTGCGCATAACGCCTTCACCGCAGATGCTCAGTCAGAACAGTGGGCCGTTCCAGCATGGATTGTAGCCGACACCGAGAAGGGGAACCCATCTTCCATCTCCAAGGTACCTTCAGATGACCCAGACGCTACAGCTGCACAAAACTCAAATGTGGAAACCGATACAGAACCGGCAAAGACATGGAACTTCCAAGTCTACCACTCACGACTGTTTTCCCAACACGAGGGCCCCGGCATAATTGATGTCTATGATCCAAATTATCAAGCAAACTCTGATCTCGTACAGACGGTTTCCGTGTCTTCGAAAGACGGATGCAAAGAGGTTCGCGAGAAGCTAGCGGCTGCATTCGAGGATATCAGAGACCCCCGTCAAGTGAAGTTTTGGTTTTTGGACCCGATCCGCGGAGCGCTGGGCCGACCCAATTTGTTGGGCACAGGCAAGACTGAGTATTCAAGTGGTACTTATGATCATTACGCTGATACCACGGAGTGGGATCTCGGGGATTCTTCATGTATGAGCCGGGTCTGGGTTCACGTGATTGATTTCGAGCAGCTGCCTGAGTTGCCCAAGGAGACAGAGTCCCTTGCAGAGAAGACGGGGGGAGAACTGACCCAAGCTCGGCAGACTCCGCCTGTAGCTGAACCTTTGCAGGCGCAGAGTGCGAATGCTGGGAATGGTGCTTCGGCATGGGGAGTCTTTCCACCCGTACAAGTGATTTCTCGTTCGGAGGATACGCCAATGAGCGAACCTGATGAGTCGATGTTCGAGCCGGCTGCACTGTCTGGAGTGGAACCCATTGTCTCGCCTCCTATTACGACCACAGGGGGGACAGATACGGCCATGACAGAGGATAGACTTGGCCCTGTGGGTGCTTCTCCTGCTGTTGACCCTCTTGATCGTGGGCCGGAGCCAGTCGCGCTGGGGGACACGGAGATGAGCGGTACTCAAGAAGATATGCCACCACCACCCCCTCCGCCGGCGGATATTACTGCAGAATTAAGGCAGCCACCGCCGCCTGCCCGTGTTCCCTCACCCCAGCCACCGCCAGATGAAATCTACTTTTTCCTCAAGTTCTGGAATCCAGAGACGCAAACACTTGAATCCCGCGGCTCTCACATTGCGCTCAAATCCGACAAGGTCGATGAAACCGTCACCAAGATCCTGTCGATACCCCCAGAGAGCCAGAAGAAGATCCTCATGTGGGAGGAAGAAGAACTGTCGAGCACGCGCGCCATCAAGCCTCGCCGCTCCTTTGCCCAAGCCGACCTACACAACACAACCATCCTCATCGTCGGCCTAGTCCTCACACCATCTCAACGCGACGAGCTCGCCTCCCAGGCCGCCTTTGCAGATCCCGAGCCCTACCTCGCCTACCGGGCGTTTGCACGCAACTTCCCACACCGCGTAAACGGGCACTTCACCTACAACTACTTCTCCGCCGAATCCTACAAGGGCGAAATCAAATCCAGCCACGGCCACGGCCACGGCACCCTCATCTACCACTCGGGCGCCACCTACACGGGCACCTTCCGGCTCGGCCAGCGCCACGGCCACGGCCTACACACGTTTCAAAACGGCGACTCGTACGACGGCGACTGGCAGGCCGACGCCCAGCACGGCAGCGGCACGTTTGTCGAGGCGGCCACGGGCAACACGTACGTGGGCGGGTGGCAGGCGAACAAGCGGTTTGGCGAGGGCGTGACGCACTGGAAGAGTGCGCAGGAGGCCGAGCGGCTGTGCCGGATTTGCTGGGAGGACGAGGCGGTTGCGGCGTTTTATGATTGTGGTCATGTGGTTGCTTGTTTGCCGTGTGCGAGGGAGGTTCAGGCTTGTCCGGTTTGTCGGAAGAGGGTTGTTACTGTTTTGAGGCTGTTTTATGTGGCGTAGGAGTGGGGGATGGGAGGGGTGATGGAGGGAAGGGGAGGAGATGAATGGATGGATGGGTGGAGATATGGATGGGTGCACAAGAGACAGAAGACAGAATACAGCAAACGACAAAGTGTAGATGCATGCACACAGGTTTTTTTTCAAATTCAAAAAGAGTCTGAATACAGCGGAATGGATATGCCACTTTGCAAAATCGTTTGCACTGTTTTTGTTTTTTAACCCGTTGGGGTTGGGGTCGGGGGTGGTGGATTGGCGGGTTGGATTGTGGGGTTGTTTTTTTGGGAGCTGGGGTTGGTGTTGGTGTTGGTGTTGGAGTTTGGTTGGGTTTAGGGTTTGGGGGGGGGGATGTGTGGGGGAAGGGAAAGGAGAAGGCAAAGGGAAAAGGGGGAGTAAATGACTTATAGACGTCACCAGTCTTTTCCACGGCCCATCTTTCCTTTGCACTTGTATTCTGGAAAAAGCAGCCTCCCCCATTAGAAAACACACAGATGATGACAAAAACCACATGGTCCAAACCCGCTCAAGCCAAATCCATTTCTCAACCCCAGTTTCTCGACTACCGATCAAGCAGCCCTCTACCCACACACCCCAAACCCCCGCATCACACAACCACTCCTCTGGGAAAATAAATCAAAACGCACAAAAAGGGGGGAGGCATTCGAGGAAGACGGAGACGGAAGAATGGAGAGGAACACGGTTGTTCCCGTCTTACAACGCTTGCAAGCCTTGCAACACGATGTCGACCTTGCCCCTTGCATTCTCACTTCCACTTCCAAACCGCATCTACACAAAGACAATCCCACATGAAACAAATCCCACAAACAAAGTCATCTCCATCTTCTTCTCGACCTCGACCTCGACCTCCACTCCTCCCCCGCTTGCCAAGCCAACCCCATATCTTCGCAATCCAAACACCACAAAACAACCACACCAACCAGCATTCAAACGTCCCCAACCCCCCCAACCTACAGAAAATACGTATAAACAGCCCAAAAAAGCACAGCCGTATACACAACATCACCAATACATCTTCAAAAAAACAACAACAGTTGAACACATAAAATTAAATGCTTTCTCATCCCACCTCCACAGCTTAGACTGAACCTTCCACCCCCACCATCCATTCTTGACGCTCTAAAAAAAAACCTGTACACTATACACAATACGCACAGAAGAAAGGAAAAAGATACACACACTCTCTTCCACCCCCGGACCCCAATTTTCATAAACAGCCTCATTAGTCCTCACCCCGCCTCCATATTCGACTCTGCTTTTTGAAGAACAGAAAACCACCCCCAAAAAGGAAATTCCGCCGCTATACATGCCCTCCTACTCCCCTCTCTCTGCCCCACTACCCGCCTTCCCCTTCTTCTTCTCACTCTCCTCCCACGCCGCCTTCGCCGTCTCCACCAACCCCTCAAACTCATCCGTGCTCTCGCACATGCCCCTAAAGATACCACCCTCCTTGCCAATCAGCTCAAATGGATGGGCAAACTCCTTGACCTCGCCCTTGTCCAGCACCAGCACCTTGTCGTAATCGATAATCGTCTGCAGGCGATGCGCAATCGTAATCGTCGTGTTCTTGATCAGGCGAATGGTTTCTTGAATCTTGGCATCCGTCGCGTAGTCAATCGACGCTGTGGCTTCGTCCATGAGCAGGACTTTGGGCGCTTTGAGGAGCGCGCGAGCAAGACAGAGGAGTTGGCGTTGGCCTTGGGAGAGGTTGGAGCCGGATTCGCTGACTGGGGTGGAGAGATTGCGGAACGGGTTCTTGTTGTCGGCCGCCATTGCATCTTCCATGGCCTGTTCCGCATTGGCATCTGCAACGTGCCCGTTCGGCATGACAATGATGGTGTCGTCTTGTGTTTCGCCACGTTCCCAGTCACGGTTGGCCAGGATGGAGCCGGGGTTTGTGGTAGCAGCGAAGGAGCTTGAGTTTACGTCTGCAGTAACAGCGCCGGAAGTTGGATTGGGGATTTCAATGGCCCGAGCGGGTGGTGTGGTGGTTCCGGTGGGCGAGGCAGTTCCAGAAGTGGGGCGCGAGGTAGTGGAGATGAGGTGCACTTCGCGGAGAGCTGTGTAGATTTCTTCGTCGGTGAAGATGCTAAAGGGATCTAGGTTGCTGCGAATGGTACCAGTGAAGAGCGTGGGATCTAGTTGAGATTAACATGCTGCTATGAGGTCCAATTTGGATGGTGAAAAAACTTACCTTGCGGTACCATGACGATGTTCTCCCGCAGATCCTGCAGACCGATCAATCCAATGTCAACATCATCGATAAGAATCTTGCCCTGCTCAGCCTCAAGAGCACGAAACAGTGCGAGTGCCATTGAGCTCTTGCCTGCACCAGTCCTGCCAACCACGCCGACTTTCTCCCCGGGCAAAATCTTGAAAGTCAAGTTCTTGAGCACCAGATCAAAGTCTGCCCTGTATCGTGTGCTGTATCCGATGAATTCTACGGAACCCCTGCTCGGCCAGTTGGAAGGAGGCCTGCTTTCTGGAACAACTGGTGCTGCCTCTTGGTCAACATCGAGGTACTCCTTGACTCGCTCTACAGAGTTCATGTTCTGCTCATTGGCAGAATATAGTCGAACAAACCACAGTACGTTTTCTGTAAAAGTGACGGCGTATGTAAGAGCAAGACCAGCAGCGCCTGCATCGATCTTGCCAACACTTAGGACGACAAAGGCTCCGGCAAAGAAAGCGACCAGGGCACCAACAACATCCACACGGAACGCGAGCCATCTATTAGCCGCCCACAGATATATGAAAGGACGGTGCTGCGTATTAATCTTGCCCAGGTTTTCACGAATGAAACGTCGCTCATCGCCATATGCACGGATTGTAGTCATGCCCGATAGCGTCTCGCCAAATTGCTGGTAGAGTGGACTGCGATGGACTGATTCCAGTCGCTTCAGATCGCGAGATGAGTTGATGTAGAATCTTCCGATGAGGAAGTAGACTACTGAAATGACCGAAGCAGCGAAGAGGAAAGCGGGTGTGATGATTGAGATCAATATCACGATCGTAACGATAGAGGCAGCACAATGAACGACGCCAATGGCGACGGGCGCGACTTCCTGGTCCACAGCTTCGATGTCTTTTGAAAACCTGTTCATCAGCTGACCCAACGGTGTCTGGTCAAAGAAACGAAATTTAGCATGTGTAACTTTTTGGATCAAGCTTTCGTGTATGCGCCGAGACGCAGCAAGAGAACCACCAAAGAGAAATCCCTCCCGCAAGAACGTGATAAGCATAAACACCAATCCCAGCACCGCGTACACGCTGAGAAAGTACGCGGAGTCGACATCTGGCTTTGAGTTTAGGAATGTCGTCTGCATCGAATTGTAAGAGAAACTGTGATCTTGAGCCGGTGCCAGGAAAGGAAGGTTCCAGCTGCATGTGGCGCTCTTCATGCATGTTCCCATACCACTTAGGGTCGGTGCATGTGTAACTGGCAAATGGGCATGATGTTCCGAGATGGCGTAACCTCTATCAGCGTAAGCGTTGGCCCATGTTCGAATCCAAAGATTCGTTGAGACAGAAGATATCTGAGCAGAAACAAAAGCAATGGTGGCTCCTAACCAATAGTACCAAGGACCCATAGCCTTGAGGTACATGGTGATGATGCTCAGCTTGACGCCTCCCTCAGCCTTGGTTTCTTCTTGGCTATTGCTAGCAGGCATCTTTTTCTGCTTTGTATCTGTCGAGCCGTTGACATTGCCGTTGGTACTGCCATTGGTAGCTCCATTCGGAAGGTTGGCCTCGCCTTGTGCTTGCTCACCCACAGGATCGCCCGAGGGGTCCCGTGAGAGTGCCTTCGATGCACCGCGAGATGCGGGGCGAGACTTGGTCAAGTCTTCAGTAAGCTTGCCCGACTGAATGACGGTCGTCGCAGAACCCTGCGTGGCTACCTTGCCATTCTCAAGCACAACGGCAAAGTCGGCATGCGGTAAGCATAAGCTCACGTTGTGCGTGACGAGAATGCATGTCCGGTTTGCCATGAGCTGACCGTATAGGGCGTAATCGAATATCCACTTGGCGGTGTGAGAATCAACCGCGCTCAGCACGTCGTCGAGAAGGACATGTCGAGCTTTGCTGTAAAGCGCACGTGCAAGAGAAATACGCTGCTTCTGGCCTCCAGACAATGTAACACCCTTCTCACCGACAAGAGTCTCGTCACCAGCATCCAAGATCTCGAGGTCACGCTTCAGGCAACAGGCTTCGATCACGTCATCATATCGCTGCTGATCAAAGTCGCTAGCGAAGACAATGTTGTTCCTGACGGTACCGTTGACGAGCCAGGCTTGTTGGGCGCAGTATGCCACACTCTCAGTGAGTCCTGTTTCGGGATCTGGTGTCAAGTCTTCACGACTGCCACCTCCTGGCAGGTAGACATTGCCTTTCAACTTTGTCATCTCGCCCAGCAATCCCATAAGTAATGAGGTCTTTCCGGAGCCTGTCGGTCCGACTATGACATTGAGCTTTCCGACGGAGAACTTCAAATTGAGATCCTGCAGCTTGAAGGCGTCGGCGGAGGACTTGTCCTTCATATCCGTTCCACCCCAGCTGAATGTAGCATCTTCAAAGCCAATGATTGGCTGACCATCTTCATCTTTCTTGCGAGTGATGAGTTGCGAGTACTTGTCGGTTTCTGGCTCGCTCAAGTACTCCTCAATTCGATCAACGGAGACCTTCGATTCTTGGACGTGAGCCACCATGTCTGCGAGCTGGTCCAGAGGAATTCGTAGAATCTGGAAGAGTGAGAGAGCCGTAAAGGCAACGGATGGAATCAACGCCTTGTGCTCAACATTGGTGTAAACTAGGAAGGAGAGGAACGTAATCAGAACTGGGGAGCCCGACCATATCGTAGCTGCCACTGCCCAAAGTATGTATCTCCGGCGCAAGTGCTTCAACTCGACGTATCGCTTCTCGTTGACGAGCCCAACGAAGCGCTGTTCCCAAGCAAAGAATTTTATGATGCGAATGTTGGTTAGTACCTCGTTGGTGGTATGGATACGTGCGTCGGTAGCCGCAAGGATAAGTTTTTGGATCTTGGCAAATTGTCTTGCGACATACATGTTAATCGGCAGAAGAATGACCATCATGCCAATACCTGCAATGGAACTGTAGCCAAGGATGCGGTACAAAAGGACAACTGCAACAACGACTTGCACTGGGGTATTAGCCCAAAGGAAATGCAGATATGCAGAAATCTCGCTGACTTTGAACGCATCCACAGCCATGAGGTTGATAATGGCACCAGTGGTAACTTGGGTTTCAGAGGCAGGCTTCGAATCGTTCTCCTTGGGACTTGCAGTCGCCTTCTTTTTCTTGCTGCCGAATGTCAACATCCGCTTCAGTCCCTTTGGCTCATCGTCTACTTCTTGTTTCTTCTCTTTACCCAGAATTTTGTCAGTCCCTGCAGCTGCCCTGCGCTTGAGGGCCTTGGCGTAGATTTCGCCGATGATGACAGCGCGTAGCCGTATGCAGATTTTTCGGCCAATCCACAGTGCCTGGCCATCAGCAAGTGCAGACATTGTGCCAGAAACAAAGAGCAGTATGACGTAGAACCATGCCGCGTTGACAGGCGTGAGATGTGGCTTCTCGATGTATTCAAGAATAGCCTTGAGAAGTAGTGTAGGAGCAAAGGTAAGGAAACCTGAAATGGCAGCCCACCCGGCTTGAATGAGTAGACCACGTTTGAAGTGCTTTAGTAGATGAAATGCTAAGCTCGTGGTCTTCTTGACCTGACGGTAGTTTGCAATGACAGCGGCAGCCTTGTCCTTGGCCGCAAGATTCCAGACATCTGACAGCTCATACGTCTTCTTGTAACCCGTCCAGACGATTGGATCGACCCAGCTGAATGTAGCTAACGAGAAAACACTGGCTACAGGTTCCCTGGCGGGCTTAATGTCTCCCTCATATTCCAATTCCACCGCTTTATTGCCCTTTCTCGAACAGAGCGAAATAAGGAATAACAACGAAACGAGGACAAAGTCGCCGATCATGAGCTTCTGGTGGACATCGGATCGAGGGTGGATGATGGCAGAACGGAAGAGCAGAATGCTGAAGACCCATTGGAAGCCGTAGATGAAGGCAGTATGATACCATAATTTTGGAAAGGAGAATTTGCCTGTGCTGGAGAACAGCAGCCTGAACGAAGCCAACGTGGCAATGTATCCCCAAACTGCGACATTGGCAATCGAAGCCAGTTTCCCATGTCTGCCCCATGCGTTTGTCATCAGGATTGCGACGTGAAGGCCCAGTTGAGCCAGTACAGCAGCCTCTTCCAAGATCACCACTGTGACCTCTCCGCGAGGCTTCACGACAGCGACCGTAGACATTGTGTTCACCAGGTGAAGGGCGAGGTCCTCATTGCGGTCGAATTCATCCTCCTCTTCGCTGTCACTGGCATCGCCGTCGTATCGTGGACTACGAAAGGACCAGACGTGGCGTGCATCTTGGAGAGCGCTGTAGGCGTGTTGATATCTCGAGGCAGTGGCGGCAAAGTAGAGTTGAACGAGTAGATAAACGACGGAGACACCGCAGACAACGAGGGGAAATAATGTTTGAAGATAGCTGCAGCATTGTTAGCCAGACAGTCCAAGTCATATCAAAGATTCAACACGATGCGGCGCAGCGAGGGGCGGAGCGTGTGTGTGGATGGGGAGGACCACTTACTCTAGTTGGAAGCATCTGGAGAAGTCGTCTTTGCCCCAGATTGGGCCTTTGCAATTGGCAAACATCATGTTGCACCACGATACTAACCTCTTCGAAATCTGTTCACACGAACTTCCCGCCAGCAGCGCAACGGATGTTATGGGCGCAAGTGGGGGCGCATTGGAATTTGCTTGAGAGGGCAAGCGCGACCGTATGTGAAGCACCACTCAAAGGTAAACAACGTCGGGCGTTCCTTGTTGTCTTTTCAGGCTCGACTTCCCAGGATGTTGTCTGTTGTAAGCTGTTGTAAGCGCAACGAAGGCTCCTACGTTGGCTTGTGGCGCAACAAGCCTTTAGCACTGACGTTGACGCGCGCTGCCTGACTGCCTGTAGCGCGGGCCAAATGCGCCGGACCGTGATGTAATAAAACGATTGGCCGATATCTGGCCGACGTCCTGCACGGCCCTCGATCTGATAACGAATTCAAGGACAGTGGAAAGCAAACTTGAGAGGAGCCAACGCTCACAGTTCACGGGTGTCGCAGGCGCATTTGTACCAAGAAGGTGAAGGGTGTCAAAGGGCCGAAGAACCCACGATCTGCTTACAGGGATCCACAAACCTCACCGCTTGCTGCTCCTCTTGCTCAAAGGTTGTGCAAAGCCGAAGCACGCGCTTCCGCTGCCAGAGCACCACGATAACTGGCATGGCCGTTATGGCCATGTGCTTTTCGTCCGCCCTTTTTTGTCGGTGTGGCAGACGTTGAATGGACCTGGGCCTTTTGCAATCAACAGACATGGGGCCGCCCCGTCCGCTGGTGTGAACTTGGGACGTGGTTGAAAGTGGCCCCCTCCATCATGGCACCTCCTGAGATGACGACAAACTGTGAGTACCTAGGCTGTCTGAACATGCTCCCGACGAACTTGTACCTATTGTGGCAGCATTAAACCTGCCACCCAATCGTCCGCGAGCGAGCACAGTCATCCAAGAGATCTAAACTGGGGTAAGCGTGTACACTAAACCAAGTCTAGGTACCCATGAATGTTCCGTTGTCAGCCATTCTAGGTTGCTATGCAAGCAATCATGCCATCGGCATGTTCGGTAATCGCTTGTGACTCCCACACATGCTCGGGCTGCTCGCCTAAGATGTGTCAAACCCTCGAGTGGTGATCAGATTCGTAGGATGAGATGGAGAAAAAGGGCTGCACTGTAAGCGAATCTGGGGAAGCTGGAGAGCTAGCAAGACGGTCGAGTGCATGAATGAACAATTAAGACTCATGAACCATGCATTCCCTCAAGTGCTCTCCGCAGACCGCGGCTTGCGCTTGTGTCGTTGAGGCAAGCGCTCCAGCTTCCGCGGCGGCGGTTAACGACAACGTGCAGGACACGTGCATGCAGCCTGTCATGTTACCTCGATTACCAATACTCCATTCGTCACACAGCAGATGCTTGGGGCCACCTTCCTAATTTCCCCGGATACTGCGAGCTTGCCTGTTGCCGTCTTATCAGCAGGAGATGAAATGCAACGATGCAAATTACTCTACAGGCTTGTACTCTACAGGCTTGTACTCTACAGGCTTGTACTCTACAGGCTTGATGTAGGCATATCCTACTTGAAACTAATGTAATATGTATGGAACGAGGGAGTCGAGCTTCAGAGCAAAGCGCCTTCCAATTCCCTCATCACAGGAAGAACTTGAGCAAGTCCGAAGACATGAGCACAATAGTAGTCTGAAAAGTACGGTTGCATGTTTGATTCTGTGTCTACTTTCGACCTGTACAGTGCTGTTCAGAGGCAAGATGCATTCTATTGTCGTGCTTTGGCCACGGGTGTCCATGGCTGGTACTTGTTCTTTACCCTGTCCCACCGTCAGTATCCTCTCATGGGCACATTAGAAAATGTAAACTCAACATACGTGCTGTACGGCTTGTAGCCCGAACGAGTCCCCGTCAGTACAGGTCGGTGCTCCTTGGTCTCCCAGACGCGAACCTGGCGCTGTAAAAGGGGATCCGCAACTGGGGACTTGTCGACCATGTAGGTAATCCACGCATGCCTAGTTAAATATCAGACTCAGGTGTCTGTCAGCGGTTTCCGAGGGGGCCATCGTACCATCCAGGCTCGATTTGAGCGGGGTCGAACTCCTTGTCCTTAAAGTCCACCCAGCGTGTTCTCACTACAGCAGCATCAGCCCTCGTGCCTCCAGATCGACTTGACATGTGACTCACAAGGAAGCTCCTCTTCCAAGTTCTCAAAGTACTTGTTGCCGTATGTGTCTTTGCCAATCAGAGTGCCGGCTTTGGTATCACCTGCAGCCACTTAGCAACCCTCCCAGCAATTCCATAGCCCATAAAGCATACCAATATTCTATAGCGCGCGAAAGGCCTTCGGTCAGCCGGGTCTGCGCACAGTCAAAAGGTTGAGGTAGGGATGCGATCGTACATTCATCTGGTGCGCATAGTCCTGTTTCTATGTTAGCATTCTGGACCCAATTCCATATTTGCAGTCTATTACCTTGAAGCCAATCCTGCGCAGATTGCGCAAAGTCCTCGTGATCGTCGACATGGCTGCGGTTGTTCTGTCTCACTGTGGACGTTGCCGGATGTTGCAGCTCGCCGTTGACAATGCCAAGCCATAAATCTGCTAGACAGGTTAGGGATTAACTTAGTGTGTAATACCCCTGCTCACAATCTCGAAGTCCATGAAAGCTCGGGGAACCTCAACACATGCCGTCACACGTCGCCTCATCTTCAACATGATAATACGAAGCTTACTCAGAATACAAGCGCCCAGGGCAGTGGCGAGGAGAAGTTTTCGCATCCCAATTCAGCCAGTGAAGGCGGTGCGACGGTACTCTTCGAACGCCCCAATGGCGCCAACAACACCGCAAAGTCAAGCTTCCATGTTGGCAACAATAACGACAGATCTGGACAAGATTGCCCCGAGATTTGAGATAGAGCCAGATCAATTACATATTCTTGAGACTCCTGCTGAGTTCTATGAGACTCTGAAGGTAGGTACAGATCTTCTCATCTCAGGACACGCACATCTCAGTTTAGATTGAGCCTATTATTATTCTTTGCTCACGTACTTGATCGACTCATTTCATATCCAACCATGTTTTCAATAAAACCTCCATTCTTTTTTCCAGAAGTCTGAAAGTGAGCTGTGTTCTTCCCAAGCTCGCTCATCTCTTCTTCCTGTGTCTACCTTCGCAGCACCTATTTTCTTAAGCCATACCAAGTCCAAGTCGGGTAAGGACTACATGAGTGGGCAATCACTTCTACGTTGTTTCAATATCAGAACTGACATTGTGCTAGTCCAAAATCTCCAAAGCTCAATCCCGGATATACTTGTCAACACTATACATCGGCAAAACCGAACATGAACTAATTTCTACTATTCGCACTGCGCTGCAAAACAATCCTAAATTGCATGTTTCCTTCCTCACAGATGCCCTTCGTGGTACCAGAGAGACTCCTGAGCCAACCAGCGCTTCCCTCCTGACCCCACTCATCTCTGAATTCGGCCGCGAAAGAGTCGAAATACGCATGTATCACACACCCAATCTCACTGGCCTCCGCAAAAAATACATCCCCAAACGCATCAACGAGGGCTGGGGTCTGCAACACATGAAGCTCTACGGAATCGACGACGAGATCATCATGTCCGGTGCAAACTTGAGCTCGGACTACTTCACCAACCGCCAGGATCGATACCATCTCTTCCGCTCAAAGGACCTCACAGACTACTTCGCCAAGATCCACGACGGTGTTGCAAAATTGAGCTTTGACGTACAGCCGTCTGATGAAGCAGGAGGCGGCGGATACAGCATGACATGGCCGTCGTCGAACCCCGCGCCCTCGCCTCTAGAATCCGCATCTGGCTTCAAGAAAGCAGCAACCCAACATCTCAGCCACCTCCTCACTCCCGCAAACTCCCCACCACCCCGCACACCAAAATCATCATCATCCACAACATCAACAACAACAATCTACCCCATCCTCTCCCTAGTCCCCCTCCTCCAAACCTCCACCGAACTCCCCGCCCTAACCCACATCCTCACCTCCCTCGCCTCCCCACCCCTCCACCCATCCTCCTGGACCTTCACAGCCGGCTACTTCAACATGACGCCTTCCTTCCGCCGCCTCCTGCTCTCCACCCGTCCATCCAGCGGCACAGTCCTGACCGCCCACCCACACGCAAACGGCTTCTACGGCTCCAAAGGCGTAAGCGGCATGCTACCTGACGCATACACCCATCTCTCCAAGATGTTCTTGCGCAAGGTGCGGCACGAGGGATTAGCTGGGTGTATACAGCTCAAGGAATGGAAGAGGGGCATGGTGGGCAAGGAGGGTGGTTGGACTTATCATGCAAAGGGATTGTGGGTTACTTTTCCCTCTTCCAATCCCCCTCCTCCTTCTCCCTCTCCACCCCCTTCTTGCGCCCCTCCTCCCAACCCCAAACCCCACCCCAGCCTCACAATCATCGGCTCCTCAAATTACACAAAACGCAGCTACGCACTCGATCTCGAAGCCAACCTCGTCATCGCCACTTCAGACCCCGGCCTGCGCAGCCGCCTCGCCGACGAAGTTGCCTGGCTCGCGGCGTATGCGTCTCCTGTGGATGAAGCCGAGTTTGAGAAAGAGGAGCGTAGGGTGGGGGTTGGTGTGAGGTTGAGTATGTGGGTTGTTAGGGTGTTGGGTGGGGCGCTTTAGGGGTGGGGAGGGGGGATGGGGGATGTGCATGGAGAAAGGGTGGGATAGGGAGATGTGACATTACAATAATACATCATCTTCCCTCACGCCAGACACGCATACATGCATAATCAACACTCTACTTTCTCTACATCTCACAAACAAACAACCTTGTATTACCACAACCACTCATCCTGAATAACCGACACAAAAACAAATCCACAGATTACTATACAACGTACGTGCTAAAAAAAAGCGGGGTATCAAAAAACGAAGCAAACCTGCAAGAGAAAAAAGTCTAAAAAGTGAAGAAAAAAGCCCCTCAGAGGGAAACAGAGTCAGGAAAAGAAGACGGGACTTCTCCTTGTGCAAACTCCATTCCCCCTTCCCTTTTCCTCCCCCCAACACCATGAAACTCGGCCTCGCATAAGAAGTAACAAAGAACCTCCATCACTCCTCCCCGTCTCCCTGCCCCTCCCCCTCCCCCCCATCCCCCCAACAATTCCGCTCAGCACGCCAAACAACCAAACCGCGATCACCAACAACACGCCGCACCGTCTGGGCCAGCCCATCCTCTGCGAAATCCAAGTCATCGAGATTAACATGGCGCGGATACGACCAAACAGGGACGAGCACGAGATCCTTTTGCCTGCGGGCGAGATTGGCCTTTTGCCGACTGGGCTGGACATGGGGGAGGAGAAAGTGAGCGGAGCGCGGGGCAACGAGGTAAACGGCGTCGCGGTTGAGGGGTGGAGGTTTGCGGGAGCGACAGGGTGGGAGGGCGGTGAGGACGGATTGGAGCATTTGGGGGCCCGGGATGCCCATGAGATCTATGGTGGTGAGGTTTGAGTTTTTGCCGTTGAGGAGCCAGGTGGGCGGGCTATAAGTTTTCCACCAAAAGGCGTGGGAGACGGACTCGTTGGTTTTGGCAATGTGCATTTGCACGGGGATGATGCCGCCTTGGTGGTAGATGCCCATGAGAATGCCGAGTGCGAGGTTGAAGACGATCCATAGTGCCATCCATGCGTTGCGAATGCGTGGGCCGGGTAGGCGGATCGAGGATAGGATAAGGGGTACGGCGGGTAACAAGAATCGGGCTTCTTGGTGTGGGAAAATGCTCAGGAGGGTGACGCCCGATAATGCGGAGACGAGGACAGGGGTGAAGTGCGCTCGGCGCAGGAAGAAGAGGAGCGGAAAGGCTGGCCCTAGGAGTTGTGGAAGGTTGACGAGAAAGTGTTGGTATCGTGGGTGTATGCCATGCTGGGCCAGATTCTCAGAAACCGAGTTGTATCGGAAGTTGTTGTACGGGGTGATGACGGGGCTGCTAAAGACTTTTGCAAAGGTAAATTCGCCTGGGGTGTAGAACGTGGTATCGATGCAAATGGCAACGAAAGCTGTCAAGAGAGCGACGGGAGCGAGGAACACAAAGGAGAATGGTCTGTCCATGTTAGCTGCGTGGGCACTGTCTCCAGGGTGATGGGGGTGACTTGCTTGCGCAGGAAATGTGGTAGCAGGCTCAAGGCGGGAAGCAGTAAGAAGGCAGGAAATGTAATGCGATTGAAGACGCCCACGACAACCATGAAGCCGAGTATGGACGAGGCCAAGATGCCAGAGCGCTTCTGCACCTTATGTTAGCTGCCTGTTCCGGGTTCGGAAAGGCGGATCGGAAACTTGGGTAAGAATAATAGGCAATACACACCTTGTCTTCGACGATCCGCTGGATCAACACCAGACTCCAGAGAACCAGCAGCGTTTCCAGGCTATTGGAGAAGGTGTGCGTTTGAAACGTCCACGTCACATAGGAAGAGGCCACGAGGGGTACAGCAACGCGTCGGGCGCGGGGCGACACAACCAACTCGTGGATGGCCCAGTCTTCCATGACGACGCTCAGTGTGAGCATGAGCACACGCAGGGCCCAGTATACGACCGAGGGCGAGACATCATAACCAAAGCCTTCCCAAAGCCAGCGCAAGATGTACATGGGCCAGCCATAGGCGAGCCAGAGTGGGAAGGTGCTGCGGATGGGGTGGGCCGAAGTGAACTCCCAGGTTTCGTGGACGGGGTAGGAAAAGACGCGTCCTGTGAAATCATCAGTCGGTGCTGGATACACAAAGCCATTGTCAGGCATGCTATCATCGAGTCATCCTACCGGCTACGACCTCTGGGCCCTGGAAATTCTCATCGGGATGCAGATAACTGGGTGACAGCGCAAAGTAGACGCGCACGAGGAACAACAGAAAATAGAGTCTCCTCCACATGGTGGCAGCCGGCGAGATACTGCGTTGAGGGTGTTGGAGGGGTCATGCAGGCGCATCGCTGTCTGTTATCGAGTGTGTTTGTTGTCGTCGCCCAAAAAAAAACCAAGGCCCGCAGATCTGGTTGTCAGTGTTTGGCCAACGTCGACAGAATATCTTGTGGCCACGTAGAAAGGGGCGTGGGAGCAAGGCAAGGTGGGGGGTGGGGTGGGAGGAGCAGTTCACTCGCAGACGACTGGTGGGCAGAAGGAAAGGGTGGGAAAGGCTAAATCGAAAGCAGATGTATTGGATAAGGGTTATTATGAGCACTGTGAGGCCTCGAGTTGCTGGCAGCCCTCAGCCGGCTGGGTCAGATGCGATCTGGCTGCAAGCGACGACGACGACGACGACGACGACGACGACGAGGGCTTTCGACAGGCAGTCTGAATGCAGACTAGGCCCAGTTTGCACGTGATGCAAGCCCCGGTACAGTCGACGCCGATCTGTTCTCGAGAGGATGGGATCATGTTGTGATGATGGAGAAAGGCCAGCTTTGCGACATCAGGCCAGCCATGCATGCTACAGTAGAAACTCTGTAGATAGGCAGGGGGGCAGGGGCAGGGGAGCCTTAGCAAGCTGCAAACGCAGCCGGGAAACGAGGAGACGCCCAGACAAGGTCGACCATGGGGCCCGTTGTGTAGAGTACCGGTAGCAATGATTGCTCGTCGCCAGCGCAGGCAGGCAACCGAAAAAAAAAGCGTGCATGTGTCTAGAGAACGCAGGGGACAAGAGTGGTATATGATGGTAGTCGAGCAAGTACCGGTCGTGTGTGGGCCACTCTCTGCACGTAGAACGTAGAGTAACCGTACCGGTGTACCTTTGCATGTAGAGTAAGTAGTACATACTAGTGATCTCGGCTAGTTTGAGGATCACGTTACTTGTCCTGTGCCATCAAAATAGCCAGGATGTAGCAGTGGCAAATCACATGATACTCAAACTACCCGAGCGCATGAGTCTACACGATCACTACACTGATTGCCTTCCAAGGTGTTCGTAGCCACGGTAGCCTTGCCCGACTGCGCTTGCCCGTTTAAGGCGGCGCGGGCCTTGGGGCCTAAGCTTCGCCCGCAGTCGTCCTCGATCCATTCCATCGTTCCGCCGCGCTCTCTCACCTTCATCGATTCACACACAAACGTCGAGTCACGGCTCAGCATCGTATAAAACCTCGTGCGCCTCCTCCTCCCCACCAGCTTCCTCCTCCTCGGTCCCTCCACTGACTTTGAATCCCCCCACGCCCCAGCTCCTATTCAACCACACAACCAGCCGCAGCACATACACTTTGTCGACCTCGTCGCAAACGCTTTACCCCACTCCCTCCATCCTCACTCACAACCCAACTAGTTCCACTGCACTCCTAGTAGCTGCCATGGCTACCGCAGCGACAACCGAAGCTTCCGCTCGCCTCATCAAGGTCACGACTTCCGATGGCGCCACCATGTCGGTTGCCCGCCCGGTCGCGGAACGCTCCATTCTCATCAAGAACTTGCTCGAGGATCTGGGCGGCGACAACGAGGAGGCTATCCCCATCCCCAACGTACGTCGCAGTCAGCTTCACATTCATGGCCGGGAAGGGCATGCGCATTGGGTTGGCTAACGCGGGCACAGGTCAACGAGGCCGTCATGAAGAAGGTCCTAGAGTGGTGCGACCACCACAAGAACGACCCCCCCGCCTCGCAGGACGACGACTCGGACTCGCGCAAGAAGTCGACCGACATTGACGAGTGGGACCAGAAGTTCATGCAGGTGGACCAGGAGATGCTGTTTGAAATCATCCTCGTAGGTTTGCCTTTGCTACCCCGCTTCCGCCATGCTGTCCCCGCAAGTCCATAGTGCTGACACCATTGCCCCAGGCCGCCAACTACCTCGACATCAAGGCCCTGCTCGACGTCGGCTGCAAGACGGTTGCCAACATGATCAAGGGCAAGTCCCCCGATGAGATCCGCAAGACCTTCAACATCCAAAACGACTTCACGCCCGAAGAGGAGGAGCAGATCCGCCGCGAAAACGAGTGGGCCGAGGACCGCTAAGCTCGCCCACCTCTTACCACGCCACCCTTTTCCCCCTTCCTCTTCCCTCCCCTCCTCCACTTCACCCAACATGCGTATCCCCGTGCATATCCGCTGGCGTGCACACAAGACCCCAAGGCGGACACGGCCACCCCTGGTGTGTGTGGGCTAGGCCTCGTCCCTGGCGTCATGGCGTTGACGATGATTTTCTTGTTTGCGCGGGAGGTTATGCCCCACCCCCCTCCACCTCCCTTGTGAAGATGACGAGGAGCATGGGGCCAGCACAATCACCACCGAATGCATGGGCTTGTGGGTCTTTTTCTGTAACTCGATCCCCCCCCCCCTCCCCCCTATGGGCTTTTTTATTTTCTCGTCTGCACAAGAATTCAACAAAGAAGAAAAGACTACCTATACTTGTGTGTACAATGTGCTGAACCCTGCTCCTCGTCTCCCTCGTCAAAAATACGAACAAGCTTGGGAAATAAATGTTGCAATGGCTACCCTCTTCTTTTTTGGCTCGCTGGTGATGTTTGTGTGGGGCTGGGGAAGTCGGGGTTTGGTTGGTTGAGTAGGAATATGCGTGTGTGTGTGTGTGTGTGTGTGTGTGTGTGTGTGTGTTGTGAAGATGTATCTTGTGCCCAATCCCAATGGGTAGGGAGCTGCAGTATGCATTTACTATATGCAGTGACACAATATCCAAACCCTGACCCATCATACATGACCACTTGCCCTGCCTTCTCCCCCCCCCCCTCCTCGCCGGTACAAAAACCAAACATCAAAGAGGGTGCAATAGGACCGAGTCGAGTCAGAGCACACCCCAAGAACAAAAGGGTTGTGGAAAAAAAAAACTTGAGCTTGATATCTTGAGTTGAGTTGAGCGTGTCTATATCGTGTTTTCCTCCCCCCCCTGAGCCAGAGGTAAAGTGTGGATAATGAGAAATCTTACAAATGACCTGGAATATATATATATTAAAAAAAAAAAAAAGAGAGAGAGAGAGAGAGAGAGAGAGAGAAATGACGAAGCGCCCAGCCCAGGTCCGTGAAGAGAACGAGCGATACGTTCTCTGTGCAAGGATGCCGATTCCAACGTCCTCGGTGGGAAACAAAGTCTCGTGTGCGAGGTAGCGGGGCGTCTACCACCCGCGCTTGGCCAACTTGTCCTCGTCGCCCATGGTCCCACAGTTGATACCCACCATGGCCTCGCCCAAATCCATACTCACCTCCATCAACACCTTGGGATCCTTGAAGTGAGTCACAGCCTGGACAATCGCCTTTGCCCGCTTCGCCGCGTCGCCAGACTTGAAGATGCCGGACCCGACAAAGACGCCATCACAGCCCAACTGCATCATGAGCGCCGCATCCGCCGGCGTCGCCACCCCGCCAGCCGCGAAATTCACAACGGGAAGCCGACCGAGGCGGGCGGTTTCCTGGAGCAAGGGAAAATCGACGTGTAGTTCCTTTGCAAAGACGCGGAGTTCCTCGTCGCTCATGACGGACGCGCGTGCGATTTCCGCATTCACCGTGCGCATGTGGCGGACGGCTTCGATGACGTCCCCGGTGCCGGCTTCGCCTTTTGTGCGGATCATGGCGGCGCCTTCGGAGATGCGGCGGAGGGCTTCGCCGAGGTTGCGGCAGCCGCAGACAAAGGGGATGCGGAAGGGGTGTTTGGTGACGTGGTGGGTTGGGTCGGCGGGGGTGAGGACTTCGGATTCGTCGATGTAGTCTACGCCTAGGGCTTCGAGGATCTGTGGGCAGAGGGCGGGGGAGGTGAGTGGGTTGTTGTTGGGTTTGGGGAGGGCAAGGGCAAGGGCAAGTGGGCGAGTATAGGGGGGACAGAGGTAGAGGTTGAGTTTGTGGAAAGGGATATAGGAGATGGGAGATGTTTTTGTATGGCCATTGGCGGGGTTGGAGAAGAGGGGAGAAATCATACCTGACACTCGACGAAATGACCGATTCTCGCCTTGGCCATGACTGGAATCGTCACTGTATCCATAATCTCCTTGATCATCTTTGGATCGCTCATCCGCGCCACACCACCCTGCACACGGATATCGGCCGGGACACGTTCGAGAGCCATGACGGCACACGCTCCGGCTTCCTCTGCTATCCGTGCCTACCATGATTTCCATTCTCGTCAGCAAACCGGTACTACTAACTCCCAATGTCGTGTGAAAGAAAGATGCGCAGAGAGTAATGGGAGGGGTATATGACTAGGACAAATCCCAAGCATGTTTTGCAGGTATGTTTGCAGGTATGGGCGGGGGAGGGTGCTGATGTTTTTTTTGTTTTTACTTTTGCATGACGGAACGAACTCACTCACCTGCTCAGCGTTGACGACATCCATGATCACTCCGCCCTTCAACATGCGAGCCAGACCGGCTTTGACGGCGAAGTTGTTCTCGCCGTCCTGCGTGCCATTGCCATTTGAAGTGGGGAGTTCAGTAGCCATTGTGTCTATGCGTGTGTGTAGTAAATGGTCGTCTGCGAATCCGGATTGCGTGTGGAGGAGGAGTACTGGGCCAATCTGGAAGAACGGTAGAGTGAAAAAGTAAAAGGAAGAAGGCAGAAAGAAGAAGACGGAGGAAACGGCCCAAGTCAAGAGGAAAACCAAAGCCCGCCCAAAAGAACCAGGGTCCAATTGAGTCAAAACTATCTGCTTTTGAAAGGGGAAAAAAAAAGGGCAAGCCCGTCCAAGTCAGTGTGTTTAGTGCAGTCCTCCTAGGCCGTAGGGCTCAGGTAATGAGTAATACAATCACGGCCGACTACCGGTTCTCCCCGCTAACGGCCAGAATCAAAACCCTGGACCGAGAATGGGAAACTGGTGGAGTGTTGCCGTCCCCATGCACGAGGGCCAAGTCGAGGATGCATTGCAGAGGCAGGGTGAGTTGGGATTGGCAGCTTGTGGGCCGGACAAAGGCTTCCTCTCCCTGTACCTGAGCCGTGGTAGCTATTCGGGTTCTGCGAGAGACGGGCACAGTAGAGTAGGGTACTCTACTGGGAGGCTACCATGTACACACGGGTACTGTGCATGCAAGTACAGTACCACGTACAGTCGGAAAGAAATCCCCAAGCCCCGCTGACTCATGCCAATCCTCCCTCCCTCCCTCCCTACCGAACCAACTATAGAGTGGTATTGTGTAACCTTGCAAAGTGGATCCATCCCTCCCCATCCCCACTTTCCCACTCACGATCGCAACTCCAAGTCAAACATAGATTACGCCTATGAAGGCCCATCTCCATCGCACCCCTCTAAACACAACACAATCCTTCCCTGTAATCCTGGCGCTAGGGGCAACACATCCAGACACACACACACACACACACACACACACAAACCCAACACACTGAAATCTTGTAATCCTGCGCGGTAACCGTACCGTGTTCTGGGCTCGCAGTGGCGGGGTCCGCGCAGACTGGCTCCCCCGCGCATGGAACAGTCCCCAAGGCCCGCACACGCCCTTGGAGAGACACAGAGGCACAGGCATTTTTTTTTTATTTCGGCGGGCCAGGTGATGTGCGTGTTGTGGATTCAAAAGCCGTGTCAGAGTGCGGGCAAGGCCGTTGCCATGCAGCGTGGGCCGCGGATTGCCGTTGCGGGATCAAGGAGGCGGGGCAAATGGTCAGATGATGTGAGGAAGAGAGTTGTAGAGTACTCTACACTAGAGTACACGGCACTCTACTATACGCTACCCACCACGTAGGGAAGCCGAGCATGCTGGATGCAGGCACCTTCTTCCCTCTTGCGTCTTTGCGGGAAGAAAATTCGATTGGAAGATGGGGGGAAAGCTCTCTGCGTGTTGCGATAGCGGAGCCCTGCGGCGGTGGCACAATTACTGGTTTGGGAAAGGACGGTCGTCGGGGGCTGCTTTTGGTCCATGGAGAGGACATGCATGGGTGAGATGGTTCTCTAGGCGATGCGCCGCTGTCTATGCGCTCCCTGGTGCCCATGTGTAGCTATCTATGCTATCGACCTGCCACCGACCTGCCCAACGAGACAGTCCCCGCAATGGGCGCACTCGACTGCTCAGCATGTTCCCACCTTTTTCAGAATGACCGAGTACAACAAAAGGGAAAGAGGGGAAAGAACGCCCTTGACCGTGGCCAACGTCTAATACGGTGCTGTCTCGCGCTTCAACCACTTGAGCGTAAGAGCATCATCCTCAAAGTAGCCGCTCGTCTTTTCATAAACCTCCTTGTGATAGTCATTGATAAACTGCTTCTCGTCCTCGCCGAGGAGACTCATGTCAACCAGGTTCCTGCAGTGGGGAGTCATGGTGACATGCTCGAATCCTAGATAAGGCTTGTCGCCAAACTTGTGACTGGTTTCGACCTCCTTGACCATAATCATGTTTTCGATGCGGATACCAAACTTGCCATCCTCGTAGTAGCCTGGCTCGTCCGATACTACGTTTCCGACAGCCAGCGAGACCTCGGAATATTGTACCCGAGTGCCAATGCCTATCGGGCCCTCGTGCACATTGAGAAACGAACCGACACCATGGCCAGTGCCGTGGCGGTAGTCGAGTCCCTCTGCCCAGAGGAACTGGCGGGCCAAGGAGTCGAGTGCAAAGCCTGTAGTTCCCTTGGGGAACTTGACGCGCTCAAGCGCCATGTTGCCCTTGAGGACCAGTGTGTAGGCCTTCTTCTCCATCTCCGTTGGCTCCGTAAAGTGCACTGTCCGGGTAGTGTCTGTGGTGCCATCCCGGTACTGCGCCCCCGAGTCACAAAGATAAATAGCCTTCGCATCGATGACGGCGCATTCGCCCTTTTCAGGCTTGTAGTGAATGACAGCAGCGTTCGCCCCCGTCGATGAGATGGTATCAAAGGATAGGCCCATGAACTTGTCGTGCTTTTTGCGGATTGCCTCGAGCTTGTCTGCACCATCGACTTCGTCCAGCTCAGCCTTCTTGTTGATCAACTGGTCCTCCAGCCATGCAAAATATTCACTCAGAGCAGCTCCATCGCGGAGGTGGCATTGCCGCATACCTTCCAGCTCCACTTCATTCTTGACAGCCTTTGCATCCCCAACAGGACTGCGTGTTTCTTCAACCCTGTCCTCGCCGCCAAGAGCCTTGTTAAGTGCCCATGATGCTCGCGACGAGGTCAGGAACTTGCTCGTTGCATCAGCCTTGTCTTTCGTAAACGCTTCTTTGCTCAGTGTGGTGAGTTCCTCGAAGATTGCATTGTATGGGCGGATTGTGACTTTGTCGCCGAGGTGCTTCTTGACCTCTTCGGGGAGCTTGTGGTCGTCGACGTAGAGGGTAACGGTCGTTGGCGTGACTACGGCGTAGGAGAAGAAGACGGGGTTATATGGAATGCTGTCTGTGGTCAGCTGGACCGCTGGCCTCTGTTCTCGAGGTGCTGACCTACTCGCTGCCACGAAGGTTGAACAGCCAGGCAATCTCGTCGAGCATGGAGACGACAAAGCCTAGGCTCTTCTTCTTCTCTAGCTCCTTGCGCAAATCCTCAATCTTGTCCTCGAAGCTCTTTCCAGAGAACTCTATTGGCTGCACAATGACCTTTTCGTGGGGGCGCGAGGGTCGGTCACTCCATATCTTGTCAACCAGATTGTCATCAACGGCTTTGTACTCTCCGCCCTTCTTCTTGATCTTATCAGCGAGTTTGCGGGCATCGGCTGCGGTGACTACGCTGGGATCTACGGCAACGACCTTGCCCCCCTCGACTTGGTCTGCTGTCCAGTCTTGTATCGTGGGCACGTCTTGGATTCCCTGCTTGAGCAGCTCCCAATTGCCATCCAGCTGCTTCTCGGCCTGGTTAAAGTACCGTCCGTCCGTGGCGAGGGCTGCCTTGTCATGTGTGATGACCGCATAGCCAGCCGAGCCTGTAAAGCCGGATATGTATGCTAGGGGGCTGTCAACAACAGACGTGGTGCGGCTTATAGTGGGGGTGAGAGGGAGGAGGGGCTCTGACCTCGTCTGGCGTCGCAGGGCGCAATATACTCGCTCTGGTGGCTGTCTTCTGAGGGGACCACTGTGGGTGCTTGTCAGCGATCTACCCTACCCAGCCGAAGTGGCAGGTGGACACGGTCGTACTGTAGATGTCGACATTGCGTTCCTTCATGAGCTTGCGGAGCTCCGCAAGCCGCTCGGTAGTGTCGACTTTGGCCATGTCGACGGCGCGCAGAATGGGCGAAGTATGCAAGGCTCTGGCGGCAAGAGGGCTGGCTTGGACGGCTACATAGGCTGCCGCTGTCGCGTGTGTGCGCTGTAGACGGCGCGCGAGGAACATTACCTCCCTCGAGTGTCCCCGTGGCGAGGGGCTGGCAGCTTCTTCGCGCCGACAAGTCGCTACAAAGCATCCCCCTGCCCCGCCAACCATCTGCAGCAGTCGGTGCAGCAGTCTTGTCTGTCCAAACACATGCTTTCGGCAGCCTTAAGCGCCATCTCCGCCATCACAGCCTTGCCAAGCGGACCTTTGACGGCATCTGGCTCTATGGCCATATAATCCTGTGTTGGACCTCCTATCGACCCGTGGACAAAGCTTTTCACTGTCACGGCAAACATGGTACAAGAACATGCAATCACGTCGTGGCAAAACAATCTCCTCGTCGACGACAAAGGGCCTGCCGAGGTGATTGTCTAGTCAACTACCGGTACACACGCCCTCAACCTCATAGCAACAACACCACATCTGAACCAGCTCCCGAGTGCATGCACTGAGTCAAACACACAGAGGCTATATTTAGCAACGACCATGTCCGACAATTAACTGCCATTCTCACCTCTCCAGCTCTGCATTCTGTAAGGACAAGACTTTTTTCATGCTCCCCTCATCGCTCCTTCCAAGGCTCCCTCCAGTGGTCACGTCTTGCGCGTCACGTGTTCAGTCATACTGAGGTACCAAGGCACTTCCAGGCCTGCATGCCGCCATAGACTTGTTGGAGTGAATGCGTCGCCGTGATTTTGCTGTTCTCGAGACTTAGCTACGACTTGCCCTCTGCCCGCATCACTCTTTTCCAACGCGCCATCAGACTTCTCACGCCAGTCACGACGTAGCCAACGATCCAGGCAATTTGAACCGCCTACCACAACGGCTGACTCGTGCAGACTCACTATGACTGCCTCCATGGCACAACCGCCGGACGTGTTCCCTCTAGACTTTGCAGAGATTGAGCGTCTCGTAAAGTCCATCTACGAGCCTGGCCAAGCAAAGAAGATATCGCAGACAGAAGCCACCCTGAGAGTCTTGCAGCGCTCGCCGCAGGGCTGGGAAATCGCTGATGCCTTGCTCAAGAGTAATGACGAGCAGGTCCGTTTCTTTGGAGCCCTCACGCTCACAGTCAAGCTCAACGCCGATTCGTAAGCCACTTTTTTCTCCCCGCTGTGACGCAACTTCAATCTGACAACAGTGCAGAGCTGAACTCACAAAAGAGAACTCCGAACAGCTACTAGTGACGCTCATTGTACGTCCGCTTGCAATCGTATTTCAGTTCAATTGACCAATTCCTGTAGCATCATCTCGTCTCACGCCCAACATCATCTATAGCGACACGCAAAGTGAGTTCCACACTGGCTCAGTACTTTACCAAACCCATATGCCTCTGGACACAATGTCTTCGCAGTCTGGCTGTCTCCTTCACAGCGCAACACCCTGTTTTGGACGAGACCTTGGAGACCTTCCCTTCCACATGGGACATTCTTCCTCGGCTATCAGACGCACAATTGTTAATTTTGTTGGACTTTACGATGAATCTGGGGGATGAGGGCAAGAAGCTTCCCAAACTACCCGAGTGGGTTTGGCCATGTCCCGCAGATCAAGTAGCACTGCTGACAGCATACAGGGGAAACCCGCACGAGCGTATCATAGCCAACATTGAAAGCGTCGAGGTATTACTGCACGTGTCGTTTGGGCGCGGCATCAAGTGGCTGTCAAAACCGATCGATGATCCGGACTATTCCGAATCCGTACAACTTGGTGAGCAGATGTGTGTAGCTGCTCTGAAATGCTTCACGGTATGAGCCCAGTTGCATTGTCATTTGCGAAACTAATCGTTCAGGGTTGGATATTCTATGCTCAAACCGAAATCTCGGAGCTTTCTGGCAAGCTACAACATCTTCGCTCTGTAAGCGAGCTCGCTTTGACGTGCTTGGAATATCATGTCGAAGATGCCATGGAGCTCGTTGCTGAGGTGCTCGAAAATTACCCCAGTTTCTTCGAGACAAAACATCGAGAAATGCTCTGGGCAGCGATCGCAGGTCCGTGGGGACTTGAGATCTTGAAAAGCCCTGACCCTGAGACTGTCTCATTAGCCAGGATCATTGTGGCTTATGCACAGCTTTTACTGGAATCCAAAGTCATTTATCAAGAGCCTGATAATGCCCATCATCAGCAGGTGTTGTGTAAGTCAACTCTGTGCCCCTCGCTGTTTTCTAAAGTCTGGCAACTTTGCTGATGCACTGAGTAGCCTTTCTGCACGACCTCCTAAAGTACCCCGAGCCAATTGGTACTGAAGACGAGGTTGCGCCTGTGGTGTTGGAATTCTGGAGTGGATACGTCAGTGCCATCGCCGAAGAATCGTTTCAATATACGTCCGACAAGGAAGCACCAGCATGGATGAACAGCGCAAAGACTCATGTCTTTCAGGCAGTCTCCGAATTAGTCCAGAAGATTGTCTATCCTCCATCTGACGTCACGAGTAACTGGGATCCAGATTCAAAGAAGACTTTCAAAGTCTTCCGCGTCGATGTTCGCGATATTTTGATAGAGGCTTATGAGTCCTTGCGCGATGTATTGACTGATCAATTCATCGATCTTACGCTTCGTGGACTAGAGAAAAGCGATTGGCTGGAGCTTGAGGCGGGTCTCTTCGGAATCATCGCCATTGCGGACACCTTTACTATTCAGGATGATGAGCGTCTAGTCCGGCTTTTTGAGCAGCCTCTCCTCTCAACGATCTCCACCAACTCAAACATACCCGGGATCACGCGTAGAAGCGCCGTAGAAGCAGTCGCAGCTCTGGATCAGTTCTTCCTCCGAAATCCTCGTTTCCTCCCCCAGGTTCTACCCTTCCTTCTCACAGCACTTGCTCAACCTGCAACAGCACATAGTGCCGCCAAATCATTCGCTTCACTGTGTTCCGAATGTCGAAAATCTTTGACGACCGAATTGCCAGCATTTTTCCAGATGTATGAGCAATTCTTGACTTATCAGACGGCGGAAGAGTTCACAAAAAGCATGGTTCTCAAGGGAATTGCTGCTATTGTTCAAACACTAGATACAGAAGAGAAGCGTCTCGAGGGCATACGCCAGATTTTTCAGTACGTCACGCGAGACGCCATGCAGGCAGTCAATGTTACCAAAGAAGGAAAGGATGCGGAGCAAGGTCAGGTACTTGCACTTACTACTCTAAAATGCCTGGCCAGTATCGGGAAAGCAATGCAAGCCACCGACGAGGAAATTATTGACTTGGAGTCAGAAAAGGTCACATCAACCTTCTGGTCCGAGGGACCAGGGAAGGAAATCCAAAATCAGATCATCAATCTTGTCAATTACCTCACACAGGTCTTTCCAGCAAATGACGAGATCATTGAGGCAGCTTGTGGTGTTCTACGCTCTGGCTTCAGAGAGTCGGTGTCGGGACCGTTCGTTCTTCCTGCTGTAACCACGGTTGATTTCATTACCAAGACGACTGTACAAACGCCGAGGTTGCCCCATGTACTAGAGACAGCTTGCTGCTGGGTATCTTCGCACAAACAGAACCCGCCATCGGAATTTGCAGCTCTGTCACAGCGTCTTCTCCACCATGTTCTGAGCATCATGCAAGCCCTACAACATCCCAGAAATGATCCGGAGATCTCCGTTGGCTGCATTGAACTCATCCAGCACTTCCTCAACACCGACCCCAAGATATTGACGTCAGTATCACCGGATCATCTGGCAGGCATGTTCAATTTTACAGTTGAGTCGATCAACTCGCCGGAGGTACTACCAAAACGCGCGTCGGCCAAGTTATGGAAAGACATCTTCGAGCTAGCGGGGAACACGCACGTTTCTCATCAGGCCACAGCTCAAGACATCGTCACCCATTTCGGACCAGCAGTCACATTCGCTCTGATAGCGAATATCTGCGGAGAGGTCGATTTCACAAGCCTCGAGTTCATCGTGGCGCCGTTGAGAGCCATGATCAAGTCGGACAAGAATGCCAGGACATACATCTCAAACTCGCTGGCCGGACAGCCATTGCTACATAGATTCCAACAGGACCCAGCAGTACAGGACATGGTTCGCAAGTTCATCGAGAGTTTATCAAGGTACGCTTTATCATGGTGATCGCAAAATTGGGCTATCGTCGCTGACTTATATATACAGGAATGCAAAGAACTCTGGCACCTTCAAAGAGACAGTCAAGACTTTCTGGCAGAGCTGCAAACAACTGCAGATGCAATTGCAGCCACAGGCGATGCATCTTGGTCAAAGCTTTGCGCATGATCTAACATGATTGTGAGTGTTGCAAGCTGGGGCAGCTAGAACTCAGCGAATGCAGCCAATGCAAACGTCAAGCCAAAAGACAGCTTGAATGCAACATTGTCTCTCACTATAGACTTAACATTTGCAGATTGGAAGCGGCGCTGCAGGTACGAGTAGGGTATGATGTGGATACCTCGGGACTCGACAAACTAGATTTTCCGTGTTAGCTTTCAGTTCTCCAGCATGTACGGCGCACCGTGTGCTCAGCATAGACGGGCGATTCAACAGATGCCCGAACGATATGAACATCTCCTCCCTATAACCTTTGAATCATGCCCACACCTCCCTTCAAACCTCATACCTACGTTCTATGACTTACCTGCAACACAAATATTCCCAATCCAATCAATATCGCCAACGGCTTACTAAAGACACTTATCCCCAAGCCTCCCAACACCCCCAATATACTGCCCATGCTGACCTGCCGAATCGCCCTCGGATTCACGGCCCCCGACTGCGTGATGATGGGCGTTTGGGCCTCGGACGTGTACCCGCCCGTCAAATCGGACTTTATTCTCGAAAACGGATCGCCGGCATCACAGCGTATGCGGTGGGTGTTTCGCAATTGGTGTGCGAGGAGGGGTGTCGAGAGGATGAAGGGTGTGCTGAGCATGAGGCCGCGGCGGAGACCGGGGAGGAGAAAGGACATGGTTGATTTTGTTGTTGTTGGCGATGATTTTCTTGATCTTGGGTGGGAATTGGTGCAGTTGGGATTATTTTGGTGTTGGAGAAACGCGAGTAATTGGTCGTTGATACTGCTGCTGCTCCTTGTTCGAATGTGTCTTGTGCAGATGGATAGTATTGGTCTACTAGCGGTTCGGCTCCTTTGATGTGGTGTTGGTGTGGGGAGAAGCCGTATGGTGGCTGCTGAGATATTCGTTGTCTGGAGACAAGCTGCTGGGCCCAACGGCGTGCGATACATGCGGCTTCGTTTGTGGAATTTCTCGCTCGACGAGGAAGAAGTAGAGGTGAGGTTGCGCGATCTCACTGCTTTGCCATATTGCCTTTATGAACACCCAAGCAC